ATGTAGTTACAGTATGTTGGCATAGGTAAAGAGAAGGACCACATCTATGGGGAGATGCTTTCTTCTAAGAGGTATGTAGTTACAGTATGTTGGCATATGTAAAGAGAAGGAAGAAAAGAAAAATGAAAAGAAAAAGCCAAATACTATAGCACTATAACAGATTTATTTCAATGTGAACTTTTGTGGATCAAAATCCTCTGCTTGGAACACAGAAAGCATAAGTGAAGAAATGAACTTTGATCCATAAAAGCTCTCACTAATTTAAATTTATTAGTCTTCGAAGTGCTACAGTATTTTGCCTTCCAACCACCACCCCTTTTCCCCTTCCTCTTTACTTTCACCAACAGGCTGAGACAAAGACTGCTGGTTTGTTGGAAATTGATATAATTACAGTTTTACAAAAGCTTTCCAATTTCTCTGAACAAGTTTCTTCCCAGAAGAGATCTTTGAGCTCAAAAAGCATGAGATCATTAAATAAATCAATGGTTTTAAAGAGCAACAACAACAGGAACGTCTTTTTGAACTCTGTGTATTATGTGCAGCTTTAGTCTTGTGTCACTAAGTTGGAACTCAAGCTCTGCCTTTGCCTTTGTTGTGATTTAATGAAACTGTCCACATGCACCTGGATGATGCATGAACTCTGACTACTCACAACCATATGTGTTATTTGTGGTGTTTTTCAATGTTATTTTTAAGACAACATCTCTGGGGGTTGTGCTGCAGAAAATAACTTTTTGTATGCTCTGGTTGCTCAATGATGCCCAGAATCTCTCTAGAGTAGCTTTCCCTGACCAATTGCTTTCCTACAATATTGGAGTCCCATAATCCCACAGCCAGTGTGAGAATGAGCTGGAGGTTGGGGTTATGGCATTTGTAGTCCAAAATACCTGGAAGGCAACTCAGGGAAGCAGGCTGTTCTACAGCTACAACCTGTGATGCAGAAGAGACCACACATTACAAGTGATAATTTCAAATGGTGAGATTTGAATTTTTAGGTTGCTTCCCTCTCCAGAATAGGATGGATATAGTATTTCCAATAAATTGGAATAATCAGAGAATTTCCCTTGATAATTTAGACTACATATTTCCTATTAAAGTTACATCATTAAACTTCACCATGTGAAGATGTGACACTGGTTCTGCTGATTAAATGACTTCAGAATTATTCAAAGGATAATTTAAGCATGACAAAAAGGCTGGTTCCCCAGACATGTAGGCAGGAGTATGAATCAGTTTGTAAAAGAGTGACGACTCACATATGCCCACAGAGGGTAAGTATTCTACACCACCTTCTACTGCCATATCTCATGCAAGAGTCCATAAAACCTGATGAAATGAGCAGCCCAATTGAGCACATGGCACTCTAATTTTTGATTAAGTGACCGGGTTGAGCTGGAAGGCTAGAGCTTATGAAAAACAGCTGAATGCATAGAAGCTGCTGCAGCTGGGTTCAAATCTGTGATTTTAACATGTAGTTTATTGGGGATAGACTGAGAAAGATGGGCGATTGATGTCACGTTTATATTCTGCCAAAGCTATTGTGTAAGGGTAATGAACACTTACAACAAGAGCACACGATAAACACTATGATCACAAAAATTAGTTAATAGTGTGTCTAATTTTCTATTCTTTCTCCAAGTGTTCAGAATGAAAGCAAAAAAGAGCATGGGAAAAAACAGGAAAGAGAAACTAGAACACAAACTGAAAAGTTACACTGACTTCTTGCATCTAATTAAAATGGAGGTTTATTTTATATGATTCCTTAATCAACAAAGCATGTTATGTCAATATTTGTAAGGATCATTTTTAATCAATGATTACTCCAGATGTAATTTAAACTGCTGGTGGCTCCTTCCAAATACTAGTTATCCTAGAAGACTGAAGTCATTTGATTAATAGCTTCCTGGATTTTAATCAGGCATGCAGCTTTTGTCATCTTCTTATCCCATAGCAGTAAATATTTGTTATCTCATGTGGATAACGGTGACAGGATGACTTGCTAATGGGCTCCAAGCTCACTGGAATCCAGAGCGGAAAAGGAAAGTAAACAGAGCCATCACGCCTTCTAGGATAATAGTGTTTAGCATCTATCAGGCTCAAACATTTTACTTTGTAAAATAAGGACAAGATGTTATTTTCCCTAGGATGGCCATAGGAAGAAGAGAGTACCATAACAGTTGTGTAAAAGAGGATGTGTTATGCATACTAAAACTGCTGAAAATTCTTCTAACATACCTGTTAAAGGTTCAGGAGATTTTAAGGTGGAGAACAGAAACAGGAAGTGCCCAGACAATCACTTCTGGTTCTGTCTTTTTTGAGGTGAGGTTAAAAGGCCTTCACCCAAGTTTCCCGATACAAAAACTACTGCTCCTGGATATCCCCAAGAGTGGAAATAGGGCTCTCTCTCTTTTTTGGACAATTTAAAAAACAATGTCTGATGGATCACTTGGCCTCACATGTGGCCAGCTAGATGGACCAATAGTCTGGGTCAACCTATGATTGAAGATAGCATTTTGTGTATAACCCACATTGTGCAGTTTGGATGAAAGTACATACATTTACTATATCTTGATTTATATTTTGATGGTAGAAGTGAACTGTGTGTTTGTTTTCCAGGAAAGAAAGAGAAAAAAGGGGGTGGGTGGGATGGGTAAGTATACATTGGATAGATCAGTGCTTCCCAACCTTGGGTCCCCAAATGTTCTTGGACTACAACTCTCAGAGGCCTGGGAACCATTGGCGTAGATGAACAAGCTGCAGGGCCGGTCTTGCAGCGTGCAGGGGATTGTGGTGGCAAGGGAAGATCACTTTCTCTTGATTCCTTTGGTTTCAGCTGTTCCACCAGTGGAGGCCCAGCATCAGCAATTCTTCATATAAACTGATTAGACTATCACTTTGGATATTAGTCCAGAACTTGTGATTGGATAGCATCTGCCACCAAATCTGAGCTTAGCAGTTCAGTTTTAGGGGGATGAAGACAGACTTGTGCTGCACATACAACATTGTCTTCCAATAGACAAAAATGGCTGGGAGCCCTAGCAAGAAACAATCACGTGACTGTTGCAACTTGCTCCCTAGCATCAGCTGCCTCCCTCTGCAAAACGGTAGGGCCAGCACTGAGAAAACAGACAGAGCCTTGGATATTGAGTTTTACTGACCTAACATGGCAGGAACACTTGCTTGCCATTGGAACATTTCTCCTTCCTTCATCCAAGAGGTTGTTTTAAATATTTGGAAAGTTCATATGCCAAGATCATCAAGGTTCTGCACCACTTCTAAATATATACAGCAGATAAATGCTTGGATGCATACAAACGTAAAATCTCCCTCTCTGAAGTGCTAGCATTTCACCTAGAGGGAGAGTAGCGTAGGGTGGGGGACAATGGGGTATAATCCAGCTATCCCAGATGGGTTTAACTGCATTGGCACAATCCCATGGGCAGTGTAGCATGTATACATTACTTAGTAATAAAAATGCCTTCATCCAAGTGCAATATGAATAATCAATAAAGAATTGGATAGCCTTGCTTCCCAGCAAAGATGGATGCACTTAATGAGTTTTCAGATCAGTTCTCACATCATGATCTTCTGCTTTAATTGTAAAGTAAATAGAGCTGCATTTTATATAAATCATGTAACTGTCACACTAGACCTGTGTTTGTTGCAGAGATTTCCACCTCCATAACCATGAATTGGCTCTCTGTGATGTTAAAACAAAGAAAATTTGGTTCACATTCTAAAACAATGTCCAATAGTTAATGTTAGTTTTAAAATTATAAAGAGAATTCTGTAAGAGAGCAATAAATTGTCACATAACATTTATGCAAGTTATCATCATTATTTAAGAGCTTTGATAGGAATTCAACTATTATGAAATTTGTAACTGCTTTTTATTATTCAGCAGCCTTGTGGTATGGAGATGAAATCCAGGGACTACTGATGGGTTGACAAAAACAATAATTGTGTTTTTACATGGGTTTAAAAAATGTTGTAGCCGTCCTTCTACAGGGGAATCAACCTCATCAGCACTACCACTGTCTTCCATGCAAACTCTGAAAGAGCACCAATCCTTGACTTAGCAAAGCTTCCCCCAAGTCCCTCCAAACAGCCACTATCTTCCTACTGCAATGCTTCTGTGATTCAAGATAGTTGTGAGTCACTAATTCTGCTTTGACAAAGTGGTAGCTCTTTAACTACTACAGTAACTTTGTTCAGGGTGAACAACACAACCAGCATTTGTGGTCAACTGCAGGAGAGTATTCAGATCTAGGCTAGTGAAAGTCTATGGGCAATATATTCTTACCCCTCACTGAGGTATTCAGAGGAAGTCTCTACGCATTATGTTATAGCTATTCATCGTATTTAAAACAGGGACAAGGATTGTGGCAGTACAACATACAAACACAACATAGTAGCTTTCCTCCACCTGGTGCCCTTTCAGATGTGTTCTAGTACAACACTCATGGTCACCAGCTAGAATGGCTATTTTGTCTGGGGATTATATGTGTTGTAGAATATATGAATAGTCTAAATGGGACTATTCATCCATAGTCTCATTTAGAGGTGCTAGGTTGTGAGTGTGAAAACTAAACAGTGACAATTTTAAAAAAAGAGAGACATTATTAAAGTGGGAAGTAATCTGTAGTGCAGAGGGGCTTACTTCCCAACTCTGCCCATGAGATTTATTTCCCCTTGGGATGGATGTGTACTCTGCACTTGCTCAGACACCTTGTCCATGGCAGGTTCATGGGTTTCAAAGATGTTCTTCAAACATGAGGTTGAAATTAAACTCTGCTGAAGATGGGTTTTCCCTGGGCTCTCCTGGGGCTGATAGATCTGTAAACTTGGGGCTTCACACCTGCAACTGCAATGGCCAGCCCAGTTCTAGAGGTCCAGTTCTCCTCACCCAGAGGGGCTGGCTGCGATCTGGGGCCTGCCTTGCCTTGTGGGCTCCAGCCTTTGACTGGGGCCAAAGAGGGCGGGCCCTCTGCCTGGCTTACCTTGTGCTGCTTCCACATGGCGCCCAACGCCTTCACGTCGTGCTTGGAGTGCTTGCCTTCTTCCAGGCACTGGTAGCAAACGGGCGTCCGGCAGGTCACGCAGTACATGCTGTAGTTCTCCAGTTCATGATCGGCGCAGGTCGGGGG